TCCCTCTTCGGTGAGAAATGCATCGGCCGGGCATTTCATTATTCACGAAAAGTAAATAGGTCGGCGAAAAACGGTAGGTACAGGAACCGGTAACGTCGGTCACGCCCCATTTATGTCCATCAACGAAGAAGGCGGGGCTTATTCTGTTTACGGAGATGCGAAAATGCAACAGAAAGACCTAGCGCAGTGCGCTAAACAGCGTGTTATTTTCGTATTTGTGCCAAACTCTATCGTAGGTAACCATTCTAGCCTAGCAGAATGCCCTAGTTCTTGAGATCGGCGATTCCATGCTCTACTGGTATTATACCTAGAAGTTATAATAAGGAGGTGCGGTATAGACTGTGATTGAAAGACACAAAGTGTCAATCCTCGGCGAGCCTCGGCATCATGGCCGCATCACGTCCAGATGAGACGGGATACCAAAGAAGTGTTGCCGAAAGTAGGTGTTGATCCTAACCGTTGAGCACGGATCTTGCGCGCAGTTCCGCGGCAAGGCGCACGCGACCGCGAGAACGTCCTACGACAGTATGCAGCGCTGGCAGCTATGGATCCGTGCGCAGAATGCATAGGTCGGCGCACGGATCCATAGCTGCCAGCGAACAGTCCGGAACCTTAGCGGGGGACACAGAGGGCAGAGATTTGGAACGTGGGAGTAACTCGCGACTTAGATGTGGGGTCGTACAGATGGAGGGGGGCGAGAGCAAAGCTTTTGATTTCGCGGTGGTTTCATTTCCGTGTGGTCTTAGGCGTTTCCACTATAAGTTGTACAGCACCCCATGACGCCTGTCCTATGTAACACTTGATATGTGAACATCAGAGAGATCGCACCATGATTGCATGAAGAAATGGTTGAGGATGTTGTACGAGAGAGTATGCGCATTATGTGGCTATTCGTAACATCGAACTCATTCCTCTGCGTATTGCTCTGCTCTGTGCTGCTACAGAACGTCATGACAGCAGTACCTACGTCGTGTTGAAGGGAACTGTCGACAGCCGTCATGTTGAAGATGTCGGCGACGTTGTTTTGCCTGAAGTTCTTCATGTAACGTGATGTTGTGCACACAATCGCCAACTTCCTTAATATGATAGATTTGGATGACATTTGTCACGCGTAGTTGGACTTATATTGCTGAACGGCGCATATATGACCGCCGGAAAATGTATAACTGTTGTGTATGAAAGTTGAAAAGATATTAAAAATCCGACCGTTATTTCATGAAAAATTTGATAAAATAGTGATACGAAATAGTACGCGGATTGTACGCCAATTTACCTCTTTCAAATCATACGCTGTTTACGAATCTCCATTTGCTGGATTTCCCCCGAGCTCCGCCCACTTTAAAAATAGTGCTAGCATTGTGGCAGTGGTATCTTGAGTGTGCGAAAGGGCACTGCATGCAGTTTGATTGTGGCAGTGGTATCCTGGACCCGGTTCCACAGTCGTGGATTAACTTTAACCCTGACCCTGAGTGGTTAAACTCACTAACTCTGAGTTAGTAAACTCCGAGTTAAATTTGGGTTTTATAAACATGGATTAAATCCTGAGTTAAGTAACTCAGAGTTAACTCAGAGCAAGACTCAGAGTAACTCAGAGTTAGTATCCCATAATTCGACATAGTTAGAAAAGACGAACATTATAGACGCATGATAGACGCATAGACGATAGAGGCATGATAGACGCACGAACATTGTAGAAGGTGTAATGAAAAAACGTTATAATGAAAACCGGCAGCGATAAATAAATGAGGGAAAATATTTTACCAATCCGGGGATTGAACCATCTACGTTCGCGCCAGTGGCCCGGCGCTTTAACTGCGGCTATTGCGACATCGCTCAAAATCGTACATTTTCCCATATTATCACAGTACGGATGCCTGGATCAGCGTTGGTACGCCATCAATTGCCGACCAATGTACACCAAACGTAAACAAACACCTATGTTCCAGCGGCAGCGGGGGATCGGACACGGGGCAGTACTAGATAAACTAATTAGCTCTAGTACTAGTACCCTAGAGCTAAACTAACCTCGTAGAAACTACGAGAGTGTACGAACGGGCGCTGGATGGAGTTTGCGGGGTTATAGCTAGACTGGTACCCGTTCGCCACCTTCACTCCGGCAAGTATCCTTCGCTACACTAAAGTTAGTAAGTGTAGCGTGTGGAACTGTCGACCGGGGAGCAATCTAGGTTATAGCCGGCCGAGCCGTCTGCAGGTAAAGTCCTAGCGAAACGCTATGCATATAGCCTCGTTGCGCCATCTGTCGCACGCCATATGTACTACACTGATATGGGGGCCTGAACTAGTCGCTGGCACAAAAAAATTCAACTCCGTTTTTTACAGCAAACCAAGCGTGCCGAGTAGCGAACCAAGAACATTTCTAGGAAATGTTTAGCTACGTGGGTAGTCAAACCCGTCGTGCAATCGCCAAAACTGCTCAACTCAGCCAACTTCCCGCATACTTGCTATATAGTAAACCTGTTAAAATTGCTATTCAATGAGTGCAGCGTTGTTGTGTTAGTGTGCCGCTACGCGGCGTTTTTCGCGCTTCGCGCGAGATCCGGGCTGCCGATTGTCTAGGCGAGCGCGAGACGTAGCCACTGATATATAAATATATATATATAGAGAGAGAGAGATAGATAGATAGATAGATAGATAGATAGATAGATAGATAAATAGATAGATAGATAGATAGATAGATAGACAGATAGACAGATAGACAAATAGACAGATAGATAGATAGATAGATAGATAGATAGATAGATAGATAGATAGATAGATAGATAGATAGATAGATAGATAGATAGATATTAGATAGATAGATAGATAGATAGATAGATAGATAGATAGATAGATAGATAGATAGATAGATAGATAGATAGATAGATAGATAGATAGATATTATATCAGTGGACGTAACTTGCGCGGTAACGTAGGATCAATGGCTGCACTCATGGCGAGTGACGGGCGCGCTATCGTCGCCCGCATCATTACCTCGTCCACACGTGTGCATACACTTGTTAAAGTAGACATGATGATTGTCGCGATTGCACCCCTCGCTTTCTGCTGCCTGTTACTACGGCACAACACAGTGTATGTGCAAGGAGAACCCAGGAACACTGGGTTTCGGGACTTCCTAGGGAGTCCTATCAAGGACCAGACACGCTGCGCTATCTGTAATACGCGAGGGGCGTCTGATATTGCTAACTGGGCTTTGAGCTATGGCAACGATCGTGCTTCTTCATCACACATTCTGCTAACACACCTGTCGAGCAGATTGTATCATGGGAACGTTAGGTAACGGAGCATCGATTACCGAGTCCCCATATACATATCTGCGAGGTTCCGTCGATTACTGGGTAAACATTTGTAGATGGAGTGTGAGGCTGCTGCGGGTAATTCCGGTGATTAATTCCGTAATGAAATCGTTAGGATTGCGCCGAGGAGGGGCTAAATCGAAGACGTCGCGTGCTGGTGAGGCAAAAGAGATCTCCGTACGGCCAAGCATAGACCGGCGCTTGTTACCACACTGTAACGTAACGATAGATATTCAAGTAATCACTCCAATTTATTACACTACCTCATCATCGCGCGAAGATTCTGCCATCATAAAATGCAGACGTGTGCAAGATGCAGATCTTTTAAAGGCAGGGGTCGGTTTTTGCATTGGATCTATACGCATCGCTATATATATCACTGTGACTGCGATACCTTCGCGATCATCGGCGCTTTCGTATTGCTTTCTTTTCAACATACGATGATATATTGACACATATGTGAAAAGGAAGAGCTGAATTGTCTCGATACACGCCTCATCCTAGCTTCTCGTCGTGCGCTTGTATATTTCCCTTTCGTTCAGTCCTAGCGCAGACGTCGTTTGGATCGATTACAAGCCCCGCAAGGCCGCCATGGCTGCGACGGTACGCGATGTAGCAGATTTAGTAATGTGTATAGGAGACGACGACACAGAGAGATAGGCAAGCACTGCGACGTAGAGCGTGTAACGCGCACGAGAGACGACGATCTGCTTCCTCGAGTGCTGCTTTAATACAATACACACGTCGGGCGCAAGCAATCATGGCTTAATGGATCATTAGGAGAGGAATAATGGCAAATAAGCACGAGGGGGTTTGCGAAGGTGCAACTTGATATCTGTCTCGTGGTACCTTAATTTTGTATGTACATTGATTATCCTACACGTTTAGCCTCGCTATATCGCCTACAGACTGGAGACTATACAGACAAGAAGGATAGCGTGAAGATTGTACATAACAATGAGAGAGGTGGACAGACAGACAGACAGACAAATAGACATATAGATAGATAGATCAATCGATCAATCGGAAGATAGATAGATAAATAGATAGATAGATAAATAGATAGATAGAGAGCGAGAGAGAGAGAGAGAGACCGGGATAAGAATAGTAAGGTAGAGACGGAGATGGTCTGTGTGGGGGGGGGAGGGGGCAGAGAGAGAGAGAGAGAGAGAGAGAGAGAGAGAGAGAAGAGAGAGAGAGAGAGAGAGCAGGAGCCTACAACTACTATAACTATATGATGCCTGTGTTGATTCTTGAATATGCACGCGTTGGTTGACGCGGGTATCGTGTGCTTATAGCAAATTGTCGAAAAACTCGCCTCCTGCTCGCGCATGCGCTATAACACATTAATCTAAGCGTCAGCAATGGCGCATGACACGATTTAACTTGGCTATTAGTATTAAAAGGTAGGAAGGCTTAGAAGTATTATCTTACTGGCTAACGCAAAACGCAAGTCATTCTCTGTTCTCGCCTTTCCCTGTTGCGTACACTCGGCCGTGGGTCGAATATGTGATGCGCGCT